GAAGCTTGCGGGTGTGGAAAAAATTGTTGCGACCTATGCGAAGGAGAACTACCGTGGATGGTTGCGAAATCCATAAACCGCACCACTTGGAAACCATGGTTGAAGCCATAACGTTTGTTGGTACTTACAGGGGAATCATCCGAAACCAGAGACTCCGAGGTGGTGCGAAATGGATTTCGTCCATTCACAGTAGGTCCTCCAGTAGAGAGCTTAGAATAAGGGTACCCGATTAATTTTTCTGAATTTGATTTTAGCTGGGGAACCCTCCCCGAAAAAAGAAACGGTAAAAGGGCACTACTGGGGGACCTAGAGAACAATCCCCTTGCTCCCTCTGAAAAACTTTGGGTACCCTCACAGAAAACACTGGATGTATTTCCCCAATTCAAGAGTTGATCGATTGACTCGTTGTGTTCTTCGAAACGATCGCCACTTTTGGAGGATCCGAAGGGAATTGGAGGAAACCCGGCCTTAGCATGGGCCTTTCGGCTTTTGTCTAAGAAATTCGGAGATGACATCTCCCTCTGTGCGATTCCGACGGAGCCCGATGGGGCACTAAGCGCTGGGGTGAAACTCAAAGCCAAGAAGCATGAAGCGGGGCGCGGCGCTGAGTGGTTTTTGGCACCTCAACATGAGTGGTTTACCTTTGGGTATGTCAAAAACCAAAAGCCCCGAAAAGGGAAGCCTCAACCACGCTCAGATCTTTCACTCGCCGCGCTGCAACTGAAACTTGTATATTCACCCGTCATGACCATTTACCGTTGAAGATACCAGAGACGCATGCAGCAAACGGAGGCCGAGTAGAAAGTCAGAAAACTGGCATGGAAAGCCGGGCTCCTGTGAACTATGCGACGAAGCTAACCACTTGAGTGCCGCTATGCCCGTGTCCTTCTTAAAGTCACGTGCAGCAAACACATCCAACTACTTCAACTACAAGACTGAAGTACCAGCTCCGAGCGTCGTCCTTGTTGCGCAGCGCCCGATTTTCCCTCCTCGACTTTGGGCTCTAACACAAGCTTCCGTTGTTCAACGTGGGGCATCGGGATGAGAGGCACGGCAATGGAACGGGGAGTCCTCCCGCCGACGTTTCGTTTTCGCGTCGCTCCAAACGTTCGGCAACTCCAAAAAGGGACGATGGCCTGATTGCGCTTTGATTTGCCTGTACAACAACCCCGATTAGAGGGGCTCCCACTCACAACGGAAACCAAACCCCAAAAGTAACCGACAAAAGATGCCACCAAAAGCCAAACAGCATGAAACCAAAAGCAACCCGCAGGCCTCCCGCCAAAAACAAAAGAAACCAACCCCCCCCCCAAAAAAAAAAACGGAGACCCGCCGCCTGTGGCCGAGCTTCGCCCCGAGCTTCGGCCGGTCAAATTCCGAGCTCCCCGCCCCCGCACGCCAGCTTGGATCAGGATCACCCGCTGGGCCCGGATCTGGCCGCCCGATGGTCGAGGGCTGTGGGGCAACGACCAACGAGGACACCGGGGCAAATGGAAAGACTAAGGGCTGAATCAAACGAAGATGTACCAAAATGGCTTGCCCTGGCAAATGGAGCCAAAGACTAAAACCCTGCCGGGGGGAGGGGGAAAAGTTGTTGATTTTTTTGAGCCACAGCCACAGAACAATGTTCCAATAGGGCTGCGATGCAACAAAAAGGGCCGAACCCCAAAGACATTTTCCCCAGATATAAAGGGGGAGACTCCCTTGTCGCAGTAGGGATAAACCCCGAGTGACCAACAACAACCCTGGTTCCCAGTCAAGCAGCCCCCAATAGGGCCAACAAGGGCTTGTAGCAACTGCTTTGCTCTTTGAGGGGCCCTGAAGAGCATGGGAAATATGAGTTGTTGCCCATAGCGTGTGTCTAATTTCATCAAACCCCTTTTGCGAAGAAAAGCAACCACGCATTTTGAGGGGTCCTTATCTTTGGAACCTTCACTCAAGGACTTGTCAACCTTGGGCGCAACTTCCGGGGAAACCATATCCTCCTGTTGGCTGGAAAAAAGCAACTATATCTAGATATGTTTATCTATCTGTCTATCTGTCTATCTGTCTATCTGTCTGTCTATCTGTCTATCTATATCTATGTCTATCTCAATCTATCTCTATCTGTCTCCATCTATATCTCTTTCTCTATCTCCATCTACCGGCAAAGATTATGGTTTTATTTAGTTGTGGTACGGTCGAAGCCTTAAATGTTGCAAGTGCGAAGCAGATAAACAGATTGCACGGTCTACTAAAAGAAGCACTATGACATCTGCAGCCCCCACTCCCCTAATACAGTGTTGAACTTGCAATATGTTGGGCCTGGGAAGAAGGGCTACGCGCTTGGCTTCAACATTGTAGAGGGGTTCGCACGCAGTGAGCGGTGCCAGAGAATCATTGTCCACATCCCGCTTGGCGGAACTTGCAATATTTCGGGCTTCCTCAGTAGCAGTGTGTGTGTGTGTGTGTGTCTGTGTTGCTCGCCGTGTTTTTATTCACACTTCCCCCTCTCTGTGTCCCTCAAAACCTGAGGACGCAGTCAAGCTGGCAGAAACACTCCGCGCGTCCAGTCCCTTGCCCGAAGCCCCGCGCCTGCTCCCACATTCTGGTTCGAACCATGCCGCCTCTATGAACACTTTGGATACGCCTCGGGTATCGTCCGAATCTCCGGATCGCTCACTCGAGTCAGTTGACGTCCTGGGACCCTGGACAGTGGACCTTGAAATCGCATCCTGCACTTTTTGGATGTGTCTCAACGTTGGGGACCAATTCCTCCAGGTGGTTTCCTTTTCAGTTCCCCCTTTAAAACCACCATTTTGGGGGGGGGAGTCTATTTTGACACACCCCTATTTGACCCGAAGCAGGGCTGTGGGAAATGCCCACTTCTGTGATACAACCAAAAGCGCCTAAAGAAGACTAACCCCCCATATAAAGAGGGGATTCCCTTGTATCACAGAAGTGGGTGTAAACCCCTTGATCCCACAACCCTGACCCGAAGCGACTCGAAAGCAAGTGCTCTCAATGCCTACCAGATTTGCGCCAGAACTGCCCCGAGTCAAGGGCGACGCTGCGTGGTTCGCCCGCGCCAGCCTAAAATGGACGACCTGCACGGCTCGAGCACCGGCAAACGGACTCGCAAGCAGAAACCGCGAATCTTCCTCAACTGGAGAGATGTGCTCCTTTCTCCGTCCAAAAGAACAACCAACAGACACCCCAAAATCTGTCTGAGGCTGGAGATCAGGAAATGCATGGATAAGGGCTGTTGTGGGCGCAGCAACCTTCAAGCAGCCCGTGCTTCCCCTTTGGCTACCCTTATAGCACCAATACTGTGGACGGACGAAATCCATTTCGCACCGGCACCACCTAAGAAACCCTGGAATGACGATTCCCCTGTAAATACCGACAAAGAATGGCTTGGTGTGGTTCAGCTTGGTGGCAGGATTTCGTCCATCCACAGTAGCACTTGGGCGGCTCAGCATAGATTATTTTTCCTCAAATCCGTTCGGGGGGTGCACTCCTGGGGTTTACCACCTACACATGCTTGCAGCTCGGACTCGTGGAAGAAACCTGACGGAAGGATTGCCAACTTGCCCAGGCAAATGGGTCTGTCTGCTTTTGGGGGAACCCCCAAAAATGGTGGTGTTCCTTTTGGGTTCGCATTTAAACCGCAAAAATAAAGGGGTACCCCTGAGAAAGTGACGGACCCAAATGTTGATGAGGACCCAACCATTTCTGCAGTCCGCATCGAAATGCCGGATCCATGTCCCTGCCTTGCGCGCCAGCATGCCACGTGCTTTTGCCTCGCACCCGGCTGAGATCCAACGCTCGTGGCAACCCTTGTACTATCTTCCATTTACTTTTTCGTCCACTGGAAAAATGTGAAAGTATGTCCAGTGATGGATTCCCATTAAAACCAACAGGGGAAATAGAAGATAAGCTTAAGCAAATGGAATCTATGGAACATCTTCCTGGGGAGGTTTCAAAGACCTCACGGGTTTTCCTTGCGTCGGGATACAGTGTGTTGCTAGCAATTGCAAAAGTTCGCCTCTTGGAACCAAGACAACTAGGTCTTGTTGACCACGCAACTTCAGCAGCTACGCCACTCTGGCAAAAAGGAGAAAAACACCGATTTCAGTCTGACAAGCACCATCCCAGGGTCCATTTGAAGTGTCCCTGGGGGTACCAATTGACTCCGGCCCGGAACCTGAAACAACAAATTACAAATGCCGGTTTCTCAACCTGCCATTTTCCATCAAGTTGGGAAGCCATTCGTAAATGGTTGCGCGTCAAAAATACGGTAACCCCACAATGGGCCAACACTATGGAAACAAGGACATTCAAACCTGCTTTTGTCCAATTCCTGGATTCATGTTTGACCCATGTCCTTTTCTAGCGGCTGCTCGGAGGAACTCTGATGCCAAACGCGCCAAACGGGCAATCTTTTGATCCCATACCCCAAATTGGCGCGTTTCCGGCTCCAGGTGAGTCACAATCAAAGCCCGGTATCAAAATAGTCTACCCAGAGCCATGTAAAGAATTAAGAAGGCGGCCGCAACTATTTATGGCCGGGACTGCCCCTTACTAACCTTCATCTACTACCCGGGCTTTGAGCAAGTGGCTTAGGTAGGACCCGTGCCCTCTGCGCAGGACCTCTTTCCGTGCCCCTCGCCTGGATGCGTTGCGCCGCCAGGAAGCGGCGCCGCGCCTTCTCGAACTCCGCCCGGGCGGCCTGGCGCCTGTGCCCAGCGGCCGGGGGTGGAAACACCGCGCCACTGGGGCCCAAGGGGTTCTGCTTTTTGACAGGGTAGACTCAAACCTGGTGGATTTCCTCAAAAGGAGAACCTCTGGGTTTAAGTCTATCTTAGACAAAAAGTAGAACCCTGGCGGCCGTGGCGCGGATTTTTCCTCAAAGGGAGAACGGGACCCCGGGTTTAAGCCTATGGGGTAGACAAAAAGTAGAAGCCTGGCTATGGTCTTCAAGGTTGGAGCCTTCAAAATGCCGCAACGGTGTTGTCCTT